CTTACCTAAATTAATCGAGAATATAATATATATATATATATATATATATATATATAAAGTAAGGATTCGATTCTCGATTATTTTTTGTTTTAATCCGAATATTAGAAAATTAATTATATATGTACTATATTTTTAAGTTAAAATTAAAAAAAAATCATTGCAATAATCCATCTTCCTCAAAACGCGGAAAATTATTCCACGTGGAACAAAAATTTCACTGCTATTTAAAATCTTGCGGATTATTAAAAAATATTAAAATTCTACCTTCTCGATTAATATTTTAATCTTGCCAAAATGAAAAAAAAAAATGTCACAACGTTCAAAAAACATTTCGTTAAAAACGTCAAACCGAATCTCCTGTTTAACCGTCGTTTCCCGGCGAATTTCCCCACCGCAAATTATCCCCACTTTTCCCCCACCCAACTTTACCGCGTATTAAACAACGAGATGTGAAAAATCGGCGGTGGAATATTCTTTTCGCGTGGCAGAGACAAAACTCTCGTGCAGCCACGAGGATAAAATTACAAACGCCTGTTAATGAAATCTCTCCGACATAACACGTTCAAGCGCGTGGAGGAAAGAAAAGAAAATTTTGCCCGTGGCTTCTAATGACGATTTTAATCAGCGCAAGCCTTGCGAGATCTACGACAGAGGGCAGAGTTAAGAGAGTTAAGAAGATGGCCGTTAACCGTCTCTTCGCCAAGTTTTATGCTCGAGTTCGCGCTAATGTGCTACATTTTGTCGTACGTCGTGCTACATTCCCCATTAATGAAGCCTTGGATTAAGAAGGAGGAGGGAGGAGGGTGTAAATATTGCCTGGCAGCGGTGATAAGTGGCCGAAAGAATTTCTCGTTCGGTTAAACGGCTATTAGAAGAAGAGGTTACGTGTTATCGGCGGAACAAACATGGAGACGTCTCGTCGCGCTTCATCGAGCTTCGAAAAAGGTAATATCGTAGTTAGGAAGGAGGGAGAGTGGAAGAGGATCGAACGAACGATAAACTTTAGTGGCAAGATGTGACGAGGAACGAAAGTGATGGCCAATATGTTAGAATTGTGTAAACACAAAGGGAGTTTATCGTGTTGGACGTTTTATTGATTCTTATATCTTGAGACGAAGATAGTGTATTATTCTCTGGCTTTAATGTAGTATTTATACTTTGAATCATACTATTGTTCCAATCAATAAATGTTATTTTAACGATTTTAATATATTGCCATCCATTTTGCAAAAATAAGTGAATTTTTAAAAGGCGAGATAAACGCGTTTGTTAAGTTGTTTGTTATACACCAACAAAACGGACGAAATTATTAAAATTGGATTCATATTGGAGAATTGGAGAATTTCCTAGGATTAAATCGATACGTAAAAAACACTAATGAATTACTGAAATTCCATATATCGTTTATTATTATTATTATCATTTTCTTTTTTTTAATTAACGAGAAAGCCTCCAACTCGGCTAAAAGATCGGACAAATTTTTTATCAACGACGAAAGAGCATTCCTCGTACTTAAACCTACGAATCCGTATATAATACGTCCTCATTCTTGATGAGATGTACCCTGAATTTCACATCCCCCTGGATGGAAAATACGAAAACATCGAATCGAAAAAAAAGAAAAAATTCGATCTCATCGAACACTTTCGATATTCATCCACGAATCGATCCCAAGTATCTTTCAGAGAAATTAATCCTTCTACAAGAGACAAAAAAGAAAATGCACGGTTCTCGTCGGAATGCATTCGATTTCCAAAAGATATTATCACCGCTCCGCGTCCAAGTGTCCTCGCGCGAGTGCGACGCATTAACGAAAACCGAGTTTGCGTAAATGCGCGGAACACGGCGCAAATTTCATATCGTGCTCCCTCCCCCCCCCCCCTTACACCATTTACCAACCGCCATTTTCACGTTCCCGCGTTTCAAAAAAAAAAGCGGCGAGTGTAGCGGCCTTTTGCCCGCGACACACGCGCGGCTACGTCCCGTAATAAATTTTAAAACGCGGCCCGGAACGAAACGGGGCGGAACGGGGCAGGTGGAGGGAAGGGTGAGGGGGGAAAAAATTCGAGGAAAAGAGGAACGATCGCGGTGGGAGGGGAGGCGGAGGAAACTTTCTCGGAGGGGAGAAAAATTCGAGACCGTTTCGCTTCGAAGCAAATTTTTTTTGACCGAAATGAATGAATGGTGAGAGGGGGGGGGGGGAAGGTGGGTTTTTTTTTTTTTCAAAAAATTAGAGATTTGTTTCGATCGAATCGTTGTTGCGAATTATGCAAATTATGTTACGTATTTCGCGATAAGATAATGGAAGAAAGGGAGGGGGGATGATTATGCAGAAGAAAGAGAGAGAGAGATGATGTTTATTCGAATCGAAAGAATTCGGGGGAATTAATTGCGAGACGCGTTGAGAAATTTTTTTTCCTCGGTGAGAGGAAAAATGTGAACCGTGGAGGGGCAGAATTTCGAGATTGTTCGTTTAAATTAAGAAAATTACGCGATTCGATAAATATATATCCGCGAGAGATAATGGGATCGTCGGGAGAATTATGTGTTCGAGGGAGGGAAAAAATTCGAGCGAATTACGAGAAAGAATTTTGGTAAAAAAAAAAAAAAGAAGAAGAGAATGGTTTAGAAAGAATTCGAGATGTTTAAATTAAGTGAATTTGGAAAATAATGCGAATCGCTTTTCGTGCGCGATTCGAAATTTTTGGGCGAAATAAATGGGAACCGCAAATAGGAAGAATTCAGAGATCATTTATTTTAATTAACTAAATTTCGAAAATAAAAATTCGAGATTTATTTAAATCGTTCAGAATTTTAAAAATTGGAGATAAAATTTTATAAGTTCTTCGTGATTATTCGAGCAGAGGAGGAACTCGATCGCAAATGCGATTAACCGCGGTGATAAGGAGCTTTAATGAAACTTACCCCAGCTATTCTGATACTCGCGTGAATATTCATTTAGGAAGTTCGTTTTCGATACGGTATCGATACGTTTATCTAATATACAAGATATTACGAGATGATACATCGTACGAGAGACCAGATCTTCGTTAAAGACTTGGCGTATCAAAGATGTGCTAATCTCGAGAGGTGACGCGGGTTCGTAATCGCCACGAGAAAACAAATTTGACTTCTCCTTATATTTCTTTCATCCTCGACAAGAATTATAACGTTTCGCAGTATTGGATATTGCAATTACAACGATATATCATAATTAGAATAAAATTTTTACGACTAAATGGAACTTAGATATCTCTTCAAATATTCCGTAGACTTTTGTTCACGCTAAAATTTTTCATAAATATCCGCCGTTTAATAGTAAAAAAAAAAAATTTAACATCAATATTTCGAACATTGTTATTAAAAAGTACGTTTAATCGCCGAAATAGAGAAGCAGTGTGTGTGTGTGTGTGTGTGTGTGTGT